ATCTCCTAAAATAACTCAAGTAAACTTCCAATGCTGTCATCCCCAAAACAACCAAACATCCTCTCTGTGTATGTGGTTATGATACTAAAATATTGGTAAACCAATAAAAGACTGGGGGAATAGGTAGGGCAAAAGAGGAGAGAACAGTAAAACCTTAGCTGCATCTTCCGTTCTCCAACCTTTGCTAACATAGTTGCTAATAAGGCTTAAGTGGCTCAGTGATGGAACACGATTTTTGCTTTAACGTAGTGCATCAAGAATTAACTCAGTAGGAATGTAGTTGAAGAAAGTGGGAAAACACTTGTATATGCATTGTACATAAAGATAAGGTCTTACACTGAAGTCTACCCTTCTTCGGTGACAGTATTCAAACCTTTATGCCTACCAAATAGAAGAAAGAGAAAAAAAAAAAAAAAAAAAAGGAAGAAGCTTAATCTGTACTTGTATTTGGGGCTTAAAATGTGAGAAGCAGTATGCAAAATTTAATCACACAATTTTTCATTCTCACTTGATCAAAACACAAAATGTGCTAACAAAATAACATGTAAAATAGTTGACTCAAGCCTGCAAAGACTTGTATAGAACTTTTCCAGAGGAGCTGCATGAAAACCAAGTGCTAAAACCTGTTGATTCATCCAAAAACTACACCAAGAAAAGCATGTTTCAGAGAGCAACAAATTTTGCTCATTTTCAATACTGCACTCTGATGACAAACAGTTAAGGCACAACCCTGTCATTTATTCTGATTCCTTAAAGTTCGCCAAATGTCCTATTTTCTTGCTTAGGTCCTACTTTCCTCTACTTCAGCTATGGGTAATTTTTTGTATGAGATTCTCGCCCTGTTTAAGAATTTTCTACTGAAAAGCACATTTTATTCATAAACTATAGCCAAATATGATCATTTGAAGAGTATACAAGTCCCCAGACACGTTTTTAGTACTTCTTTCAACCTTACACACTCAAGGCAACATTTCTAGACCTTCCACAAAAATTATGATCTCAATTATTTTATCACAGCATTCACTGTGATCTTTTTAGATCTAGTAATTACCCAATCACATACTCCCTGAAAAGCTAAACATCCATATCTTCTTCAGAACTGGTCAATTCACTCACATTAAAGTCAGAAAGTTTGTTCCTTTAATACTAATGGCATTTCCTACTATGGAATCAAATTACCATACCATAAACCAAAAAATTTTACTGTTAAAATCCTTTGAGATCATAAAAGAAGATTACACTGTTAAATAGGAAAGTTTCAGCATGGCATTGAACCTACATTTAATACCATCTTAAGAAACCTGAAAATTAAATGGAAAACAGTAACTTTTTCCCCATTGATGTCTCAACCAAAAATAAGTTTGTTACCAACCCTAAAGAAACTCTTACTATTTCAAATTTTAAGTATTTTGGTATGCTTTGGTTTTTAATTGATCAAGACATAGATATTTTCCACTACACACATTCTTCAAAATACAGATGGAAGGGGAGTAAGAATTTAGAAGACATAACATTGTTATAAAATGTAGTATACAAGAACCTGTCATTTAAGTTGCAAGAAACCTAGTCATCAATAAGTGAAAAAATACTCCGCTCAAAAATCAATTATGTTGAGTCTTTTGTATAGAGAAGTAGTACACCTTTCAGGCAACTGGTATTAATGAGCAGACATGGCTATAGAATCTCCATCTGTTTTTCTGACAAAGCTGTGACTACTCCAGTCTCTCATTGAAATTCCATTAATCTGGTGCACCAAGGACCAATGCGAAAATCAAAACTCCATCTAACCCTTTATCAGCTCACAATAACCTACAAGTGAACTCTGCCTGTTAGCATACAGCAAGTTATGATTTTGCTATCAATCAGGCTGTTAGCCAATAAAAAAAAAAAATCAAGTTAAGAATGGAGTGCCTGGCAGTGCTGTTTTGTTTTGTCTGTCTTAGTTTTGGGGTTATTTTATTTCGGGGTTTTGCTGTGTTTTATCCCTCTTCCAATTTCTGTAGGGTGTCTGGACATGTAAGCCTATGCATCATTCTCCTTCGTTGTGATTTAATTGCTGCCAGCAATCAAGTCAAAGCATCACTGAAGTGTGCTTGAATTTCATTAGATGATATAACTTATGCTACTTTCCTACAGTACCTAATAAACCATAAAGAAACCAAAACACATATGGCTTGAGGGAATAACTGGAAAATTAGGTGGCCATTTGGGAACTGAGTGAACTTTTGAACCAGAGGAACAGAGAAAAAGAAATATTAAAAGGAAAGACAGACTTAGAATGCACACAGAGATGTGGGGGTTTGACCTTTTCAGTACCTAGAAAATTACATTAGCATTATGAAAAATACATATCATGTTTAGAGTTTATAATCCATCAAACTTCAGATACTTTGTTAGTGCCTACCATAAGGTAAAAGTCAAAAGGACAACATAACAATCAGATTTGACAAAAGGCCTTTAGGTGACCTGTGCTAATTTAGTTATCCCATACTTATTGTTAAATGGATTATCTCTCTTGTAATTAATACACCATTAGACAAAGGTCACACAAAAACTCCAGGATTTTACAATGACTGTAATGTACACATAATACGCTAATTCTTTATCTGTTACCAAGCAAGTGCCTTCACAAATTATATTTTGACAGCAACACTGTCAAGTCAAATAGTGACACTTTCAGAACTCACAGAAACCTGGCAGTCTAACTCAAGTATATAAAGGTAAATACCTGGTTTGTTTGGTGGGGGGGGTTTAACAGAAAAAAAATATATATAAAAGGTTTTACATAAAAATAAGAATGGACTCAAAGAAAGAACACTTCCATTTGATTACCTACAGTTAGGCCCCTGTTAATGCTGAGAGGTTTTACACCTGCAGAATCCTGCTGGGCTAAGCTGATAACTGTGTAACATCAAACATCAACCTTACAGACCCAGCTTCTTGTGTAGGATTTAAATACTGAACATTAACAGATTGCTAAAATCCAAAAATATAGTATTAAGCTTCAAACCTATTCACGCCTATGAGAACCAAAACAAATTACATGTCCGATGATCAACCCACCTTTTCTTAGAAGATTCTCCCAACATACGTTTTCATACATATTCTAGATGGCTAGACTTGAATGATAGACTATAAATGTTAAAATCAAAATGGTCTTAGAATGATACACTGGATATTCAAAAAGGAAAACAAACACTCCTCCAAGAAATGAAAGTATTAACAGATCAAAATCTATTACCTTTCTCTACTTTTCCTCATGCTGCACTCCCACTAGATAATTAAATAGGATTAATCATAAAAAAAGTAGAAAGAGCAGTGAGGTAAAATCATCTTAAATATAGCAGAATCACACCCACTATAGTTCTACCTAAACTGGAACCAAATTAGCAGAGATACTGTTGGGCAGCTATTATACCTACTCTCGTAATTATAAATTCAAAAATAGGCTAAAAGTTAATCACCCATCTGTACAAATTCATGCAGTATTTCATATACTCTTGCATCAGCATTCTTCAGCCATTCATTATTTAGATTTATGAACATTATCACTTTTTTCATCATTAACAGATTTAAAGCAAATCTATAATCATATCTCCTATTAAATAGTCAAACAGTTTTGTCACATACCCTTTATGCAATCAGTACCATGTTATTAAGTTACAATTAGAAATAATGTTAAGATTATGTTTGTAAGCAAAACTAAATACATGGAAAGTTGCATTCATCTGTAGCTTGCAAAATTAGCTTGGGTTTTCGAAAAGCCATATTCAATTTGACTAATAATTACATTTCAACAAAAAAGCAAAAAGGCTTGGTTTTACTTTTTTAATAGAAGGTCACATTGCCAAAATGCAACAAGCTCAATATTAAAAAATAAGTGTGATTATTATTGTTACACATTTTACAGAGTTCTGAATATAAAAAAAATTGCGTTATTCTGAATCAGTGGTTAGAAGGTTTATCACTTATGCATGTACTTGACTTATCCCTGTTCTGCAATAGACATAATTTTATACCTCATAAAAGCAATTTATGTTTCCAAAGGGAATAATCTGGATAACATAAAATGTGGAGTGCTATGTTGCAGGAAGCATATTTTCATTCAGCAATTGTTTTTCGAGATGGAGCTGCACAGTTTGATCATCATATCATGTTCACTAGTAAGTCTATCTAACTTCTAGTGCCACAAATTAATATACATCGTTAATTTATCTGTACATATATTTAATTTATTGCCATATATTATCCATAGAAAGTATTTATATTACGTATGCAATAAACGAATCTCAAAAATACGCACACTATGCTAAAGCAAGCTTGTTAACTGTTGAAATATTCAATTGTTCATGTCTTCAGAACAGTCACATTTAGCATTAAATTTAATGAATACAAAATAAAACAACATAAAACCAGCTATGGAAACTAGATTTTTTTTTTAAATGCAAACTGAAATTTAGAATTTATATAATGAAAACATTCTACAAAAGACTGTCTTAATGGAAGGAAACATTGTAGGAATAATTAATTTAATATTTTATGAACCTATTCTGCACGGAGTTTGCAGAAAAATATCAATCATGTAAAACTGTTTCATTATTTATTAGATAAATAATACAGTAAGCCATTAAGTAGCACAATAAAATTAAGCAAGAATCTGATAATGTTGAATTAACAAACAATTTGTTACTACAAATACACTGTTTTAGCCACTGATCTATCTTTAAAAACATATGTATCTACAGAAGATGCTTTGTTATGAAAAAACATGAGTTTCAAATTCACGGTTTTTTAGACAGCTTCACTATGCTCTAGGACCACTAGAGAGAGCTCTTCAGTTCCTTTAAAAGTTCTTGTAAAGGTAAGAAAACTGTCCAGCTGTGATGCTTATCTGTTTATCTGATTGCCAACACTAACATTCACATCACCGGGATCCAATTACATGAGTTTGTAGCAAACTGGCAAATTTAGTACATTCTAAGGTAAACAGTGCCACATACCATCAGAAGGTGCTTCATCCTCTTTATCATATCGGTCTGATGCTATTGAGACACTATCAGGAGGCAAAGAAACAGAGCCCTCAGACTCCTCCTCATCTTCCTGTTCTGTAAAAGTAAAAAAAACATTGCTAGTTAAAATAGTCTTTAGATTCTGTGTTTGTATGATAAGACAAGTGTTTTAATTAGTAGGAGGATAACAATTCCTATCTGAAACAGAGAAAATCCCATTTCCCATGGATGCTAATAACACACACCTTGTACATTCTGGCACAGCTGCGAGTAGTGCTGGTCTAGGGCTACCTCCTAACTGGCCACGTACATGTTGCTGGAGCAGTTTTCCTAAACACTGTCATATAATGAACCCACTCCCAGCACTGCGCAGCTGACAGCTTCTCATACAGTGGGGAAAGAAACACACACCACAGCAAAGAGGTGGGCATGGGAAAACACCGGCAGGAGGAGAAAAGGGTAGTGCCAAGCTGTGAAGTTTGACTGTCCGAGCGCAAGAAGGAGCTGCAGCAACTTCCCTCCAAAGAAACTGCCCAGCTACTGTCGGCAGCAGTTTGTCGACCTCTGCTCACTTCGACTTTTCTTCACCATAATTAGGCGCAACTTTGCAAATGTTGTAACATGTATGTGTATTCCTCCCACAAAACTAAAAACAGAATCGCCTTTTGACAGCGGCCAGTCTGAACCTGCAGCTTAACACAGCATTCTACTGATTATTTTCTTACACAGTTGAGAGCCCTACTACAATATATGTAAAATCTACATTATTAGCTAACCTATGCACTATGCTGATCAGAGTGCATTAAGTGTGAAGGTCTGGGAAAGGTAAAGTGAAATCCATATTAGTCGAGGCTTTCATTTAATTAGACAAAATTTAAGTTCTCCCTCCCAAAACTCAGTATATTTTCTCAGATTGTTTTTTAATATCATCTAGGTGAAGAAGAGGTGGAAAAATAACACAAACTATATTGTTCCTTTAAACAACAACAACAACAAAAAAATCAAGTCTTGCTGAAAGAGTAAAATCAGATAATTAAATATTATAAAAATCACCAAACCAAAGTCATAAAGCTGATGCTCCAATAGATCAAATCACCCTCAATTTTCTTAAAGATTATATAAAGCTAAATTGCTCAAGCATTGCCTTTTGGTATAGTCATATGCAGAAAGCTTTCCAGAGACCTCCAGACATGCTTCTCTATGCATGTGTTCCATTCTGGAGCACTGTATCGGGAAACTAATTTCTAAGAATCCAAAATAAACCCCATGCATAGTGAAAAAATTCTTCTCTGCAGACATATGAATTGCATTTATCAGTAAGACTGCCTAACGATGGCTGAGTTTTATCTCTTTGCTTTCCATTTAAAAATGAAAAATCATGGAAAAGTCAGAGTCCATGCCCAAAAAGCACCATAGTTGTTAGCAAAGAACAGCAAGTTTTCTATGCAAGTGAAACAACAAAGCCTGATTTTTTGCTTTGCTGGAGTTCTTTTACATCCCAAGATTGTTGAATACTAAATTGGTTTTTCCCTTCATTAATTTAGTATGCTTAGTAAGCTTCCTTTCAAGGTCCCATGCCATAGAACTGCTGCTTTGAATCTGAACCTGACTCCAGCCTATTTTTGACACAGCCATTTTCCAGTAGCACTCCAGCCATCGTGTTAATCTGATCAAAATATTTGCATTTCATCACACCTGTCAAACCAATCAAAAGTAAATTACCCCTCTCCAGGATTCACCTCTTCCTCCAAACAGAAAACCAGAGAGCAGATAGCACATGAGCAGCAAATATTATGCCATATTTACAAACAGCATGATCATCTTTCACACCTACATATCAGACCAGTTGCCTGCCTGCCACTCTCCACCTCTTTATTAGACAATTGACTCCATATAAAAAGAGCAGACATATTCACAACCTATACAGTATCAAAAGTTGTTCCACTCTTTTCCTATCCTAAACTTTTACTAGTACTAGAATGCATAGAATATGTTTGTATAGATACATACACACATATATGTGTATATATATATATATATATATATACACAGAGCATGCATATATATATATATATATATACATATATATATATAAAAACCCTGGTTGTCAAAGTGTCCTCTTATCAGCTACATATAAATGTACTATTATTTAACCTTCATGAAGGTGTCAGCATAATTTTAAAATATTAGGCTGTATTTCCAGAGGAAAACATTTCCACAAACACCACACTCCAGCACTCGAAATTCATGGCCTGAATAGTAAGAGTAAACCTAAGTATATTTAAGTGAGTAGCACTTACGGATGACAAATTGGTGAGTACATATGTAGAAAAAACATCTCCATAGAATTTTGCCCCCCTTAGCAATACATAATCTCTTTTACAGAAGTTGTGATTTCTTATGTAAGTTTGCATAGCTGCACTATTACCTTGCTTTTCCATTAAGTCACAATGCTAATGTTTTCTAATTATGCTTAAGATTTCAAATTCAGTAAATCTTTGTGCTTTGCATTAATATAGAAGCCAGATGATCTAGAAGCAAGGGGTTTCTTAATATATACATACATACTTAGGGCACACATGTACGTATCCCAGGTTTATACTGTATTTGAAACAACAAAAACCATGGGCACACTGAACGTAGAGTTATAATCAAACAAGTATCTGTTCTAAGTCTACAATATCCAAGTTCAAAATGCTCTTAAAACAAAGCCACACAAAAAAAAAAAAAAAAAAAAAAAAGAGCTGTGGTATTATGAAGAAAAAAATTACATGTTCAGTGCTTTTAGAGAGTTTATAGTCTTCAAAGCAATCTCTAGATGTTAAATCCTAAATAAAAGCTTGCAGACTTCCATGAAAAAAACCACCTCACTAAGAAAGACAATCAGAGCAAGTATATAAATCATATGTCATACAATACTACATTTAGGTAGCCATACTGTTTTATGTGAAAAATAGGTCAGACACTACATAGAGGTACAAGCATCCAGTAGCCCTGCAGAAGTAGATTAAAATAAAAAAAAGGAACATTTTTCGTTTAGAGTAAATAAATGTATTTGTAAATTTATATAATACACTGAAGTACAATCCTTAAATCATCTAATTTATTCAGAAGAACCGCAGGCACTTTGATAGGAGAATTGACTCAGTGTGCTCTGGAGCTTTAACAGGCAGCATTTCACAGCATTTTTACGTGCTTACATAAATGAATGACTACATGGTAATATCAACCTCGGAGTTTTGCCTCCTAATTTTGGCAGGGTTAAAAGACATTTTAGGAGCTTATGCTATTAATATATAAGGATATTGCTCCTGATAATTCGTCAGAGAAGCTTCCTGTTGATTCTGTGGGGTCTCCTGCATTCCTACTCAGAATAATCTCTGCCCTTTCTCCACTTTACATGCTCCTCCATCAAGGTGTTGCACTGCAGTTTATACTCCACCTACTGAGGAAGACTAGATGGAATGGCATTTGAGGCTACATGTGTTACTCCTTGAACAATCAGAGGAGTCAGTATTGAGCACCACAAGCCACTACTCTCTTCAGGTGCCAAGTACCTAAAAATACACCCGAAAAGCATCAATAAATTAAAGAAAAGCATTCAACTTACATTTATGTAATAGAAAACCGAACTACAAAGCAACAATGGGCATCAGGTAAATGTATCCAATACAATTTGCAGGCATAATTGAAAGCATTACTGCCTAATCGGACATCTAAAAGCAAAGCATGCTCAAACGAAATGTCTATAGACTCATTAGTTGGCAGCCATTCCATTACAATCACATATAATGTCAGTGGCGCCTTGATCCTATGCCAATGACAACAGCATAAATTTTGCATCTCATTTCTGTGGTCATAAAATTAATGATCAGTTTAAAAATACTTCTTTGCAAAAGTTATTGCACAAAGAAATGACATGAATGTGTCCCTGTTATGTAGTCACAAGGATAATTAAGGAGTTGATGCTCACTAATATAGCTTCTTGTTTCCCCAGAATACCATATGACTTATCTGGAAGTTGGAAAAAAAAGTTTAATTAACAGTAGATAGTTAACAGTTACAATTATACAAAAAATATGTATATGAACTGACCCTATTCTCCAGTTTCTGCAATTTAAACTAAGCTCTTACAGGTTTAATAGCAGAATCAATATTTTGTGATATCTTCAAAAGAACACCCATACAATGTCTTTCCTTATTAAATGCTACCTTTTCCATTACGGCTTATTTATTGATTTAGGAAATAATGCATACCAAAGGGTAAGTGTACCACATTAGGAATGGAGCATAAAACAAACTCTCATTGTAGCCAGGGCTCCACTTCAGTCCCTGCCCCCTGTTCTGAAGATTTCCAGCAGATTTAGTTGGTACCAGTTGAATATAATGAACAGGACCATATTATTTTAAAATAATCCAATTTAAACAAAAATTCAGAAGTCCAAACTTCTTTTTTCCCCCAAGAATTCATTTTCTTCTGTAGTAGATTATAGTAATGAACTCCTAAACATTAAAGATACTGCTTCCACCACCAAATCTAAAAAAGAGCAAGCAAGATGTTTCAGCCAATGCCTCCGAAAGAGACTTGCTAGCTCTCATCCTCAGATCACTAAACATTTTCCATTTATTTCTAAAAAAGTCTAGACAGAGTGATGCATTAAAACTGCTCAAGTATAAGAGAAATAAAACAACTCACAAAAATAAAAAGACATGCAGGTCAAAACATCCCACTTCTTGCCATTTCAGAAGGTCCCAAGTCACAGCAGGTTGAAATCACTTCCTCCTGTCCTATCTCCACTGCATTAAGGACCACCAAACAGGACTGGATGAAGCCAACAAGCAGATCAATGCAAGGTTCTCACTACACAGTTTTTCACAAAAGTAAATAGATGAAGTTGCTTTCAAGCTGGCATAGGTATATGTTGGCCCCTTGATAGCTCAGCTAATTTTTTAAGAAGATGCTGCTGACCCAATCCACCAGTCATCTTGCAAAACTGGATTCTTCTGACAGCCACTTTCTCAATGTATGCTCACTGTATGAAGAGTCTTCTAGAGTCTCATATTAACATTGATGGTTTTTAATTACTTGTTTTGTAAAGGTCAAGTAGTAATTCCTTAGCAGCTATTTTTTAAAACAATACCGAAACAACATGAGGTTTGTAAGCAAAAACACTTCAAACAAGAAATGCAACACAACTTTTACTTGTTGAGTTGCCTCTCGTTCTGATGACGTATATCAGGATAAGTCCATTTTGTGCTGCACTGGTGGCAGTATCTCATGCTGCTTGAAATTGCACTTGACATGGACACTTCACAGACAACAGCTGCGTATAGCTGAAAGGGACAACACAGTGACTTGCCTACAATGAAACCCTCCAGACATCCAGGACAGAGTGGTATCTGGCACACTTCTAATGCATCTGATGGTGTCTGCAGAAATACATCGTGACGATCCTCAGACTGCATAACTACTAAGCCATATCTTTCCCATTTATAGCTAAATACTTGCAGTGTATTTATGCTCCTGACTGAAAGCTCAAGTGTGTTAAAATATAAAACTCATACCCACATACTGCTCCAATGACCACAAACTATTGCCTCCCTTTCTGAAGTCCAAAAAGACTCCTACCTGCTGCCATTTAATGAAAAACAGAGTGTACAGAGACAAAAAAGGAAATATCACCTCCATACAAATAAGAAAAAAGAAAAAAAAAAAAACACAACACACCAGAAGACACAAAGCCTTTTCATATAGTGCTACTCTATCAGCTTGACTGTTTCCAGGAAGCAGATGTCTCAGGCTCCAGACACTTACTACTCTGCCAAGAGCCAAAGAGCCATCTGAGTCATTTAAAGGTTTCCTACAGGTACTCCCAATAATTACATTGAGAAGAACACCAATGCTCTGAAGACACAGGTTTATCTTTTATTATACTACAGTGAAATGAAAATGAAAGTGGACCTTCAGCAGTTTTTATCCAACTGAAAAGTGGTAGTTAGCAAATGTTGTATCATACTTTTCTGCCCAAATAGTATCAAAGTCATGTGCTGCAGATCAGATACAAGGTGCACCGAGTGCTTTATGAAAAACTTGTTCTGCAAGTTCCCATATTATGACTCAATTTGGCTAGTACTTTTGGTGTCTCACTTCCAACACTGAGCCAGAATCTTTTTTGAAAAGTGATTAAAAATATATATTTTACTAAAATAAATGCAAAGAACAGATGTTAAGTGAGCTTCAAACACAAATATAGTTTCTAGGGCTTATAGGCTTCTGCCAACTCTAGCACTATTTTTAGCATAAATTGAAAACAAGGTTCTTTTAACTAAACATTTTGGCAGCCATGGTATTGATTCAATTAATCTCAGAACAGAGAAATGCCAAAAACTGTATTAACTAAGAATTTCTGACAAAGTCCAGACTCTTATATCCTTAGTGGAATACTAGTCTTATAAAAAAAAAAGAATCAAATTTGTATGAAAATTATCTTAGTTTTCAAGTTCTTTCCCAATTCTAAGATGTAGAACAGGTCACTTTGAGAGTGACTATGGCTTTTTGGTTTTGCTTAAACTGCTTAGATGAAGAGTCTAATGTTTCAAATTAAAAGAAAAAAAAAACAGCAGTATCTAAGAGGAAAAAGCCATTTCTACTGAGTTCCTTAATTGAAGGATAAAATAAATGTAATTGTTTAATAACTTAACTAAATAAAAATAAAATTTGTGGAAAGATTACTGCCTTAGATATTAATATCATTGTACTCTATTTTTTTTGTCAGAAGAACAACATGCACTTTCCTTGTATGTAAATCAACATTACACTTTACTGTAAAAGTCAGTGTAAAGTCAGATAACACATCACACAAGAATTACTTTCGTGTATAATGAATTTCTTGTCTTTAATTTTCACAGGTACCCACTTCCACTAAAAAGCTCAATTTTTTCAGTGTGTAGACACAAAATATGCTTTTGGAAGCATATTTACTGACCAACAGACTATATAAGATGACTTCTTTTTAAGAGAATGCAAGAAAGTCCTAAAGTTCATCAGTCTGGTTGCAAAGAAGTACGTATGCACTTTCTGAAAGTGAGAGAGATACGCACACAGATTATTTCAGTTTTAAGGAGCCTGGTTCTACTTGTGCACATGCTCTTCCTTTTTTTTTTTTTAATCTTCTTTTAAACCTCCTTGCCTTATTTTTATGGAAGGTAAAATTCTGTATGCTATCAGCCAAAGCCCGTGGAAGAACTCACATTACAATACCTCGGTCAAACTGACTGGTCACTACATGCAAAGCCAGTGGAACTTCAAGATCACACAATGACAAAAGACAGTGGAGTGACAAGCTGGTGCTTTGAAAGTGTTAGTCCACTTCTTTTGGCCTCCAAAAGATTCTTCTGGATGCCTCTGGAAGCATGACAGGTCACAACTCATAAGATTCTAGAAAACAGCTGTTAATAGTATGATAATTACTATACCATGATAACATGGCACATAGTGTGAACCATTCCTCACCTTTCCTTTCAGCTACAAGAAAGTTTATTTTATCTGCATTTAAAAGAAAGGAGTAACTGCTACCACCAAAGAAAGAACAGCAAATAGGAAGTCTAAACATGCATAGTAGTTTTTATTCTTCCTAGTTTGTTTCAGTGCAGTTTCCATGTTTCTGCTTCCATCCCTCCTTTTTTCATAAAAGATGTTCTCCTTTTTCACCACATATTTTGAGATATTTCTTCTTTCTCTGGAGAGGGGGAGGAACAGGAAAATTTCTGCCCATCGCTGCCACCTCAGGTTTTAATCTTTTCTCAAATTTTCCATTTTTCAAATGTCTAGGTGTGCACAGAGGGATGAATGGGCACAAAAGTTGACCTCACTCAGCTGCTGCCACTTCTTTGTTCCACTAGTAGCTGGCCAAGAATCTGACTGCTTACCTCCATGTGGGTCTTTTGTTCTACACCTACACAAGTCACGCCCAATTTGTACAGGCCTAAAGTAAGAATGACACAACCAATGAACGTTCAGCACACACTTCTTGAACTCTGGAAATTATATCAACAGCCCATATCATTGAAACACATTCCCTCAAATATTTTGCAAATAAGTGCAGGCTCCCATTTCTTGTGACTTTTTCATATTCATGCATGTAAATACACATTAATTTGAAGAAATTTATCCTCGCTTGCAGGAGACAATGGTATCACTTTATAGCCCTGTCATTTTATTGACAAATACTGAAAGAAAACTAAAGCACCAGCATTCACAAGCTTCCCCATCTGTACATAGTTCTACAAATCTGAACTAGAGACACATGAGAATTTATTTTTTTAAAAAGCACAATATATCCTTCTTAGGAATCAAATGCACTCTAAGAAAAAGAATAAGGCTTAATATAATTTTCACAGAAATCAGAGCAAGTTATACACTAACAATTACAGACTATAGCAATTAAATCATCCAGCTGGAGAAAATGAAATCTCATCTTTATTAATAATTTGTTGAATCAGAAAATAAATTCTGAATCAAATTGCCAATGAAGAATGCAAATAGTCTAGAATTTTCTTGACCTTCAAAAAAAGCAAACCACTAAATGCAAACGGAGATCTTTGTAAACAATTCACATTTGTTAGTCACAGCCTCAGAAAGTTACTAAATCTTAAAAAACTTGCTCTCCAGAAAGTCACATGCATTTGCAATGAAAACCATCCTACCTAATTTCATGTTAGTCATTTTCTTAATAAAATAACATTTGACTTTTCCACACTTAGTTCTGTTGGACAGTGAGAAGAGGAGGGAAACTACATTTTAACTTCAGCAAGGGTGCTAAACAGCAGATTATTTTAATACAATTTCTAAATAATCACATAGTTTGAGTTTACAAAATCTTGGCAATCTTTGGGAAGTTTCAAGCTATATTTTCTCTTTCAGTTGAAATGATATGGCTATATAACTTGATTTAAACAGGGATAAGAAATGTATGAACTTGTTGTGCCTTGTTATAACATTACTTGCCTAATACAGCTTACATATTTTCACTTTATCAGGAGGCATGCTGTAGCCTACACATTTGTACTCCTTGTCCAAAAACAGACAGCTCTTCAACCACTGCAAAAAGTGAGGCATTGCACAGGCTTTTTTGACCTCGCACTGTGACCCTCATACCAGCATCCACAGGCTATAGGTCACGACCCCAAGAATTAGCATCATGGAAATAAGAGCCCTTCCAGGTTTAGTTACAGAACAGAACACTGGAGCAACAAACTCCTTGGTCTTCTCTAAACTGAACTCTGCAGCTTTGTTTTAACTCCACTAGAAGACAATAGATAACCCACACTTCAATTTTCATTACTTGCACACTAAATCATCTCCTCTCCAACTAAAGGTCTGAGCTCCTGCTGCACTATGAAAACATTCATTCACTGTGGATCGAAAGCCAATATCATATTGCCACTAGATGATCCTATTAAAAGGTTAAAGGAACATCACTATGGAATTGAAGACTTTTGCATTGTTAAGAAAAAAGTCTGAAATAAGTTATTCCTATTAAAACTTTATCTCCTAAGCAGGCTGCTTTGCATACACTTCCTCTGACAAAAAAAAAAAAAAAAACCAAAAAAAAACACAAAAAACCACACAAACCTGCATCACATGGTCTTTCACAATGCTACACCATTGTTAAGCCAGACATAACAAGCTCCATTTAGATTAAACTCTGAGCTACATTTCTAAACCAATCTTTTCATCACTAAGTGCCCTTAGATGTGTTTAACGAAGAAAACTGGACCTAACTTTGAGCGATGGAATAGCGAGAGCTTTGCGACTGGGAAGCTTTTCCCTGCGTTCCTCAGCAGGGGGAGCCAGCCCCCTCGGCCTCGGAAGGCAACCAGGGCACAGCCCTGCGCCGCTGCCCCGGCATCAGCTCATCGAGCCTGAGTCCGTCAGTGGGCAAAAATACACCACGATGAGGGAGGGAGGGAGGGGGGGGGCGGGAGAAAGGCACGAGATTTACCTTTATCCTGGAATTCTTGAGGATAACTGCAGAAAGAAGAAGAAACAACATAAAGCCATGCACACTTGCAAATCCACCATACTAGAAGAACAACTACTAGTTCTCAATAAGCTTTTTGTTGAAACTTAGCACTGCAAGCTTTCATTATTAATTTTAAAGTCTTTATTTTCAGCTAAATTATTTACTCCGTTTTGATTTGGCCTTTGCAGTTGAGAGAATCCCGAGTCACTTCAAATAAGATTTGAACAAAACCAAACTCAGCTAGAGCAGCCTTTTCTAGGAATGTACAACCTACTCAGAAATCTTAAGGTATAAACATACAAAAGCATCTTTAATTTTAGTATACCTTCTATATGTTAATATATTTCAAAAAGTTTTGTGCACAAGTAAAAGAAACTAAGCATAGTTTTAAAATAACATGGTAGGTCAGCAGGGAAAAAAAATCCACAGTGAATTTAGTTGCAGTAATTTATGAAATACAAATTAAATAGTATTCATCATTAACCAGAATTTTAAAGTTCATGCATGCCTAATTTAAAAAAAAATCAAATAAGATCTCAACTTATTTAATGTGTAAAAAAAAATAATAATTCTATCATGCAAGGAGGGGAAAGACCGTTTCTTCAGAGCTAAATCTTGGTATTTCATAAGCACAAATAATCAAGGATACAGTTTGATAAATACAGGATAAAGTATAAAGATAAATAATCAGGACAAAGTTATGTAAAATGGCATCTCAAAAAGCATGCATGGACTAGAGTTCATGTGAAAAGAAGTGGATTTCACTAGGAATAACTGGCAAATAAAATGAAGCTTACAAGACAACAAGCCATAGTGCACGTATCAGGTTAGTCAGTAAGAAGATGCTTACAAGTAACAAGCAGGAGAAAGGAAGGATCTAGGAATAAGAAACAGAAATGCAAACAGAGATAAAAGGCCAGATCTAAGAAACCCTGCATAGCAAGTAGCAGTAATAGTTAGGCACAGCCCAATATGTGGGATGTGAATATCAAAGCTAACTACAATGTGCATATATTTTGTAGCCTGCATGAAAAGCAAAACTCTGTTAACAGTGAATAACATTACAGGAGATGAGGAAGGAATTAGAAATTAAAATAAGATGTGAAATCATAGGGTCATGTAAATGAATAGCAAAGGATTCAGTGTCAGCTGTGCTCACAACTGCAGGTTCCATCTTTTGATATTGTATCATCCAAAAAACCATAGTTGAGTCATAAGACTGAAGAAAAAAGTCAGTAGTGTTGTATATGCAAGTCATCTGTACAGTCCCAGTAAGCTCAATAATCCAGGAGGGAAGGCACAAAAAAAAAAAAAAAAAAAAAAAAAAGAAAGAAAACCCTGATAAAACCCTGATTCCTTATTAAAAAAAAAAAAAAAGTAAAATAAATAAATGGAAAAGTCGTTCCCTAAGCATTTGCAGCCTGAATCAAAGGCTCAAAGGCAAACAAACCTCAATTAAAAGATTTTTGGGACACATCCCATGTCTTCCTACAGTTAGCATGATACAAAGAATGATGCTCTCACCAGATGATTGTGCCGTCTTTGAAACTAAACAAGTTGCCACACAGGCAGGAGCATGTCATCAAAGGAGAGGTTAGAAGACATCACACAGGAGCAATCAGTAAAAAAACACTTTGGAAACAACAGTAGGAAAAGAACAGCAAGTACTAGATTATATCCTAGTTGATTAGAGTTGTAAAAAGAGATTATGCAAAGAAAATTTTGTAGTGCAAATAAAACTACAGCCAAATCTCTTTAGCTGAATTGTTTGTGTGAAATTAAAGCACAATAGAACAGATCTCAAATCATACCCAATATAAAAAAAAAAAAACCAAATCACAGCCCTCTGCTTACTGTCATAGTACTTCACTATTTTAACACTGTTAAAACAAACTTATGATCTATAAACAGTTTCCAGTTACATTTCAATTTTCTATTACAGACAGAGCTAAATGACAGAATATACAGTAAAGCAAAGTCAGCACTGAATTATGCTGGATTATACCAGCTGAGTATGGCAACAGGAAGCTCATTCATATTCTCAATGGATTATATTTCTCAGATTCTAATGAATTTTACCAAAGCAGAGGTGAAGGCAAGCTCTACCCAACCAGCTTGCAGTCAGGGGTACAGTAATTCAAATGGAACAAACACTTAGGTTCCCATTTTTTACTAAATTGTAGGATCTTCAAGAAGATATAAAGACTTGAACCCATACAGATTATTTGACAAAATCAGGACCTAAACAGATTTTTAATTGTTAATATTGTTAATAAAAGATTGTGAAAACTTTATCATTAAGTGACTTTCTAACATATTAAAGCCATAAAGTTCACTTACCTTGCCTTAACATCTTTTATCTTCTTAAGAAGAACTTCCCTTTTTTCTTTTGCTTTCTTGGATAGATTTTCTCCTTTTAGAGTTTGGGAAATAAATGTATCAACATCTAAATAAAGAAAAAAAAAAATACACCTCAAAAAAAGATAAACACTGCTGTAATGAGTTTGTCCTGATATTACTGTGAGAAAACTAAGAAAATTATTTTCAAGCCTATACACAGTGTAGTTAGTGGACATTTTGTGTTCTAAATGGGATACATTTGTTCTTTGATCTACTTATGCTTAGTGCAGCAAATCCCATGGTGACATTCGATTCTTGCTCGCTTAATTATGCCACGTAAGTCCTAAGAAATTGCAGTACTGTAACAACTACTTTCCATCACCTAAAGTAAGGGATATACCTAAAACATGGAAACAGTCTTTATGCCTGCATTACTGCCATGTTATTTCAGAAGTTCAAGTTACAAAAATGGTTGAGTACTTCATTATTTCAGGAGTAACGGCTACCCAGCTACTAATACAGGTCATTTACTGGTTACAGTATTTTCCAGTGTTCTCACATTGCCTCTGAACTCTGTACTTGACTAAAAGCTCATATCCAAAGCCTTAATCCTGCAAACAGTAACCATATCAAAAGAGTCAAGCTCAAGCGTGTACTTGAAGTTAAACATACCTGCACTTATAAAATCACAAACTGAGGCTCTAACGTACACGGTAATTTTTAATTCTAGTATAGAAGATACATTTATACAGTTATATAGAATCAAGGCATTCCATAAATGTTACCATGGTTCTTTGTAATATAGTAAATATCCATTCCATAGGGTAAAAACAATGCAGTGACAGAATTTGGGAGAGTGTAAGTCCTCCAATATTACGTTTTCTTGATTAACAAAAACAATTGCAAAAACTAATTGTAAAAGTTTCTTATCTTTACCAGTCAACATACAATTATCCTGAAAAGTAGAAAGATGACCAAAAAATACTGCTTGTTAACTTAAATTTCTCAGCTGTATGAAGTAACTGTTCACTGAATAAGGGAAAGCATACATAAGTAACAAAAACACCCAGACAATGCCTTCCCACCTCTCATACACACACACACACACACACATATATATATATAGATACACTTTGGCTCAATCTGTGTAGATGCAAATAGATATGGATAGAACTATTTTAATCCTGTAACTTTTCCAATCAGATGAGACATTCCATTTTCATAAAGAAATACAAAAGAGTCAATTAAGTACTCCAATATTTGCATACAAAGTTTACATTTTAAAGCAACATTAAATTAATAATTACTGCAGGTTTTCTAACTGAAAACCTTAACTGCCTGCTTTTTTCTTTAAAAAACAGAAGTTCAACAGAAACATATCCCACTTTATATTACAGAACACAAGAAAACAAATAAGTCAAAAGTTACTCTTTGGGAACAGTAGCACAGCTATGACATGACAAAGATGTTGTTCTTCATAAATAATTTACCAGATTATTATCTAGATGTTTAGATTGCTGTCTTCACAAAGTGTGGCAAAAATCTTCACTTTCTTTTAAAGTATTTTAAAGTTCTGAAGAATTACATTGTTCCCCCTCCCCATTAGACAGAGAAGTTTCCCCATTACATTTTCCAAAGCAGTCCTGAAGCAGGGGGACCCAGATTCAGTTCTGTAGCATTCCTTCTTTAAAAGGACAGAAGGAAAGGCACTTAACATGTGTATTAATGAATCCTCCAGACACACCCCCAACAGCCTCTATGCCATACACCATGCATCCCTAGAAACACTTTGTCCTAACCCATAGAAAATGTATACGTCTTCATAAATTCCAATGACTGGAATTTCCAATCAAGCGGGCAATTGAGGACCCACACAATCCAAACACACTGACCAACAACAAAACTTAGGTCAAAAACACCCGTACTTTTATTACTGAGAGCAAAAAACAAAACCATCAACGGTTTTTTCTCTCAGTGAAACCCAACAGGATTTTCCAGTACAGACCAACCTTTCACTATGAGAGGGACAGGCTGATTAAATATTTGTTCCTTCATACTTTTACATATTTATTTCAAAAATTAGAGAGCTGCTTCAAAGTTCTACCTAGGCAGCAATATGTGAAAGCTTTGAGGAATTAGGTCACGTTTATAAACAAGGAGCAGTGATTGTACAGTAATCTTTGGACACATTAATCACAGCACTTTGCTTCAGAAGTCTTCATTTAAACTCAGTGGGCTTCTTTACTTCTTGGGAAAGCTCAAAAGTCAGCTGAGAACTCTGCAATCTCAGGTTTTGACTGACTATCAAAGTTTTTTTCAAATAAAAATGTTAAGATAACACAATTAAGAAGTATGTGTGGAAGAGAAACCAACTTGATTATCATAAACCAGAATTACCACTTTGGCTTAAAATACACTGTTGATAGAAAAATCTGAGGATTAACTACATTGCTGACAGAATCTGTTATTTTCTGGAAAAGCTTGGACATCAAAGCACAAATAATGCAGAATTTTCAACCGTGGAAGAACAGGGCAGAAATAGATGCTCCATTTATTCTCAGTATAAGTAGATAATGAGTTGGAGGAGAGGGGGGAAGGAGGGAGACAGAAAGATAGCAAGCATGCACAAGATCCTGACAAGTTTGTTGTTTCTAAACAGCAGCAGTTACAGAGAAGACATCCCTGGGATGGCTTCCCTCTCCCTTGAGATTATAAAACAATTCCTCCAAGCTTAGGTATCCACAATCACAGTGCACTGTACTCACCATGGAACATGTCCAGAGAAACCCTATAGCTTGATTCATCACAACCCCAAAATATGAAGACAGACCTGATGTACACATGACCTTCAACAAGATGCTAAAAGTTCACTTGAAAAGTATGCTTTACTGTATCATAGATCTTTCTTATCTACTCACCATTACATAGGATGTTATATATCTCGCTCAAGCCATGTTCTGATCTAGCGTTGTACAGACATTCAGGATGTGCCAGATGCACATGAGACAAGTAACTTATCCTAAGCTCCTTTGTACAATAAGCAAGAAAGTTATGATCATCTCTTCACTACCTGTACTGCCACACCATAGAAGCGCATGAAGGAGCAGTCCCTGCTGTCAGAGAAAACTTCATCACTGGCTTAACATAAGGGGATATTCATGCAATTTCTCTGATATTCCACAAAATGAGTTACCTTGGAATGAGAACAGAGCTCATGGCTTCAGTGTGACAGATTCAAGTCTCATACAGTGAACCTGAAACAGAAGCAGCAAAATTTACCCACTTCTCACCACTATTCTAGTCACTTACATGCTCTTCCTTCTCCAGGAAAAACTTGATCTCTACTAGTTTAATGCTATATAGAAAAGGAAAGCGTATACTAGTAGTCACAAGCACTTGAGTGTAGACATGTTTCCTTCATACTTCAGTAGCAGTTGGTCCACTGTGGAATTTAAAAAGGAATAGAAGATAAACTCCAAAAAGAAAACCTCTTTGAACAGACTATTGATTTAAAAGCACTTTTATTAATCATTACCACACAACAAACCAAACAAATTATCCATTTCCATAAATCGTTTGTTCCTGATAAATTGAGCAGCTATTTAGTACCACACACTGCAGAAACTCAGCTGTTTCCACTGAAAACACAAAAATTTCAAAGATAAATAAACTTTGGAAATTTATTCAACACATCTTAACTTTTTTAGACTGCCTAATAGCTTGAATGCCCATAGTTGTTGCTCTATTTCATAAGCTCGTGATTTCAACTTTGTCTGAACCATACACCAGAGAAATTATTTGCCTCCAGAAATAAACAATAGCTTCCGAACTGAAAGATCAGATTGATGATTCACTCACAAATTGCTCTGTCAATACAGGTTACAAACTGACAGAAAGGGGAAGTCATGATACAGTCTAGCTCTGTCCAACCAGCTCATACAGTTCAAAGCTTAATTGCCAGTTCATACAACAGTCAAAATCTAAAAGGCCATTTTAATGTCATTTTCATCTACATTCCTTTTACAATGAAAAGAGCTAAGATTTATTTTGCTTTTCACTGTTAAAACATTTTGTGGTTCTCCCTACTTCAACAATTATAAACAGACAACACCAAGTTTTCATTATTTTAAGTCTTTGGGGCTATTTTCTTTAATGAAGGCTAAAACTATGCAGATGAGCTTTTTCAAGAATGTTGTAAATTTTTAGCCCAAAGCAACTGCTGCATTAAAGAGTGCTAATTATAACAAATCACAGCACTTTGCTGTTTACAGAGTTTAATATCATGATCATAAGTCGCACTCAATAAACAAATGTATTCAGGATAGAACTACCTCATTTTTGTGTCAGGGTGGGCCAAACAAGACTCTCATAGAAGTGCTCAGACTGTGCCCTGGGTCTTCCTTTCTCCCCTCCTTCTGTAGATAACCAAACTGTTGTCCATCACATTATCAAACAATTTGTCATTTCTTTATTACCTGATGAGTTCATGACATTCAAATGACAGAGAACAATTATAAACTGGCAATGAAATAGGTGTGTGCCTACTCACATGGCAGGGCATGCACATGGTTCCCTGTCCGTGACCCAAGGAGAATGCAGGCTCCTGTTTTGCGGCTGGGCACACATCTGTCATATGACAAGGGACACTTGCATGGGATCACCTAGCAGATGTGCTGCCAGTCACACAAGAAGGGAATGGCAGGTCAGTAGAATAATACCTCCACCCACCAGCCTTCTTGCATCTCTCTCCTCCATCTCAAGGACTGAGAGCCAGCAGCCGGCTGCAAGCCAGAGAATTTGGGAAGACAGGCCAGACTATTTTGGAAGGTAGCTGCAAGCTAGGCACATTTGTGCACACACACTGTCCAAAAGTGACCAACATTAAACAGAACACCACCTATCTTTCAGCTTTAAATGGCTGGCATTAGAAAGCAATTAATTTGATTTTGAAGTTTTCATGCAATTCATTAATGGGGAACAGGTCTGAATACAAATTCTCAAGCAATATCTGTGACTGCCTGTCCTTCTGAATCAAAAAATATGGGGATTTTACTTCTGCTCTCCCCTTTCGTTCCAAACTATATTTAAAAGTCTCTCTCCAAAGTTTG